CCACCACCACCACCACCATCACCACCACCGAGTTGAGCAACACCAAAAGTAAAGCCTACTATCCATCGAGACAAACGTAAACGTAAAGTTGATGGACAACTTCTCATGAACGGAATGATAGCTTTGTATTTAAGTACCATTTCGTCAAAATGAAAATCTTTTATTTTTTGAACGAAATTGAAACCGAGATTTTTGGCCGAAAACTCGTCAAAATTTGCTGTTCCTGAGGGTCCGCTGGACCCCCTGGCTGTACATGGACCTAGCTTGAGACCAGGCACCCCCAGGCAGTCCTGCCTGGAGGTGCCTGGTCTCAAGCGAGGTCCATGTACAGCCAGGGGGTCCAGCGTTTGTAAAACGCTGGACCCTCAGGAACAGCAAATTTTAACGAGTTTTCGGCCAAAAAACTCAGTTTCAATTTCGTTCAAAAAATAAAAAAATGTCCATTTTGACGAAATCGTTGTTATTATGAAAGAATCCTGCGGTGCTCTCGCCCAGTCAAAGCGACGACTCAGAAGAGACTCAGTGGGAAACAAAGCTGTAATCAGCAAGTGACAGCAACAGCAGGACACAGAGTTCACAGACCGCAGGCAGAAAGAGAGCTCGACGCCGCTGAAAGGGTGTGGAGCGGTTACTGTAGGTACTAAGTCTTAGAGGAGTGAAAGACTTAGCACCGTTAGAGGCAGTGTTTTTTTTTGTTTTTTTTTTCCCTTACACTGGGAAGCTCGATGGTCTCACCACCACTGGGATAGAGGGGCTGCTCAAGGGGAAGCAGTTTGGCCAGGCACTTGGTGACAGGTTACACAGAATGTGCCCCTGTTCGAATGAAGCATATTCTTGATAACACATTCAATATTTGATGTACACAGGGACGCTGGACCCGATTTCCAGCAGGTGATGCTCCCCAGTGTCCCCACCAATAGATGGAGCCTTCAACAGTGGGACCTGCTTAATAAGGAGGTGGGCTCGTACCACCTCGTGAAGCAGGACTTCCGGAACGTGAAGAAAGGTAAAAAAGGGGTATTCTTATGTTATTTAAAAAAAAGAGGAGGACTCAGTTTGTCGAACTTCAAGGGGAAAAAAAGGTAAAAAAAGGTAAAAAAAGGTAAAAAAAGGTAGAAAAAGGTAGAAAAAAGAGGAGGACTCAGTTTGTCTGACTCAGTTTGTCGACAGAAAAGGCAAGGTAAAGCGGGGGGGGGAGAAGGAATGAAAAAGGTAGAAAATTTCAAAAGAAGAGAAAGGTGCCCAAACTCCCGCAAAAGAGCCATCGAACCAGCGGGATGGCGCATGCTGGCACAGACGCACGCGGCTGGCTCAGGCATCCATGATGGTCGGAGACACTCCCAGACAGTACCCGGGTGCACATCTTGCTCAGTTGGTTCGGCACGCAAGTGGCAGGAGGTCATGGGTTCAATCCCCAGTACAATACGGGAAATTTTGGCCCTAAAGCTTAGGGCCTTTGTATTTGACCAGCCGCCGAGTCGGACCCGAGAAAAGAGAGAAAGCCACGTTTGACAATGATTTTTTTGCCTTCTTTCCAGAAATCTTTCTTATAAATGCCACTATCTTATTACTTATCTACTATAGAGTGATTTTGAGCACTTCAAACAGGTATGGTTATCTACCATTAGTGAGTAATCTGGGATGGTCGGGTTTACTGAGCGTTTTGATGACATTTCTATTGCCGATCAATAATCCTTTCACCACTGCTAATCTATTTTATAATAATCTAATCATAGATAATTTTGCCAATTTTTGTCAAATCTTTCTTAGACTATTGTTTGGTACTGCCAGCACCATTTCATTGTGATTCCATTATTTCAAACAAGAAACTTCGAATGCTTTTGAATCGAATCTATCGCGTTAATTAAACTTAATTCTACTCTCTGGACATCTCGAAGCGCTACAGCCTATATTATCTGATGCCGGCGAGATCCAGTCAAATGATTTTTTACTGGAAAAAAAGTCCGAGGATCCGTCGATCGATCCATCCATCATTGTGCCTCTGTGTTGTTAAACAGAACCATGCCGCCGATGCCGGATCGAATGGATTACTCCACAAGTGAAATGAAATGTAAATGGACGGGCGCAGCGTTGACTGTGTACCGCCACGAAGCGGCGGGCCGGGCCTGTTACTGACTGCTTGGGGCTCACTTTTCTTTTTTTTTTTTTTTTTTTTTTTTTTTTTTTTTTGAAGAAGAAGAAGAAGAAGAAACACCCCTTCCAGTGATAGTGGTGCTGGTAAGGGCAGACACCACTAGCACCTTGGGAGAGGCTCCATCTATTGGTGGGGAGCATCACCTA